GAATTACCCTGCGACAAGCATTAAGTTGTACACTGATCTGTCAGACCTCAGAGGACATTTACCTCTGGCACGAGTCCTGGGTCAGCCACATAGCAACAGGTGGATGACCTTTGGAAATTCGTACAGCTCTGTCTGTCATCAGAAAGGGCTGTTATAGACATTGCTTGGGGGGGACAAGGTTGACAGTGAATATCTATCATGGGCCAAACACCACGCATCACAGATACAATGGCAAACCAAAATAAGCCTGTGCCTTCTTTCACTGCACTTTATATTATAGTGTGTGTATGGGGGGTGGGGAGTGGGGATGGCAAGTGTCAATCAAATAATCACACAAATGCATATAAGCTTGTCGTGTGGCATGTTGTGAAGGACAAGTTCATGGTGTGTCTTTGATAGGGCCCAGATCCTCTCCACCTTTGCTGGGATTCTGGCTCCTCTATGCACTCTCTGATGATCCTCAACAGGTTACTGACCTTCTCTGAGCCTGTTTCTCAGGTGCAACATGAGAAGCATTGTCCTAAACACTGTGCAGAGTGATGTCGTCTTAAGCAGTAGGTGCTCAGCAGTGCTGGGGCAGGCAGAGCTGATGATATTATTAACATGATCACAACCCTGTTGGTATCAGGGTCTACTCTTGGAGAGCTGCACAGGGAATTGGGGGCAGCAGGCACCTTCTCTGCTGCACCCGGACCCTTTCCGCCCTTTTGCCCACTGTGTGCCCTTCCCTGGCTTCTGCAAACTCTGTTCTTGGTGCTGCTCTTCAAAGACTACTTTGGCTTTAGTGCTTTCTTTCTGGATGCACAAAGAGCCAGACATACCTGGAGTTAAAGCTCCACCATTGCAGAATTGTGAAAGGCCCGCTCCCTGGTCATGAGAGCAGATCATGCTGCTACGTACACTCCAGAGCTCCCTGCAGCTCCAGCCAAGGCTGGAACACCTGAAGTCCCGCCCTTGTTGGCTCCCTCCCTTCCCCTTCCTGCTGGCCCCACTGCCTCAAGGTGTGCCCAGGAATCACTGCCCAGGGAATGCTGCTCTACGGTCAGCTCCTGTGGGATGTAGGTCATTGAGGAAAACTTCCTGGGGGAAGCTCAGCTCCACAGGGTGCGTGGGAATGGGGCAGGAAGGGAGAGTGTGCCAGGGGAAGACGGCAGTGAGAGCACTCGTGGGAGGAAAGCTTTGGAGGAATAGAAGAAACTCACAAAAGCCTGTGTGGCTGGAGTCCCGAGGCATGGCTGGTGGATGATGTGGGCTGAGGCCGCGGTGGTGTGGGGCATATTTTATAGGGCATGGAATTGAGGCTTGCAGAATTGGATCTTGATGTTAGAGCAGCAGGAAGCCATAAAGCAGCCCGAGATGTGGACAGGTCTGGGTTTGGAGAAGACCAGTGAGGCAAGTGTGAAGGGGATGGAGGGAGGGGAGAAGGGTGGGTGGGGATCTGGTGTTGCATGAGTGGCCCAGGTGAGAGATCCTAGTGGTGCAGCCAGTTGGTGGGGATGGTGCTGAGGACAAAAGTACATGACCTCAAAAAATCTGTGAGCAGCAAAAATTGGAAAATTTCTTTGAGATTCAAAGAACCATCTTTCAGTAAAATTGCTATCAAAGTCTAGATTTTGGTGAGGGTAGATTTGTGATATAGGGCTTGTAAAATGGCCACATAAGAAAATTTCATACCAGTAAGACAAAGATTGAATTTTTAAAATTTTGAGATGATAGATGCAATGAAGAGGAAAAATGTCTTGAGTATTTAAAAACTTTTATTTTTTGCTTTCAAAGTATTCGAAGATATGCAGATGAAATCTGATAACACATGTGGATTTATAGTTCCAAAAATAATTTCATAGTACCAAGAAAGCATAGACTCATTTTAGCAATATGGACATATCTATTCAAATACAAAGACATAACAGTTCCAAAATGTTCTAAAAATATAACCTCGAAAAGGAAATATCTACCAAATATACACAAAAATAGAGTATGCTTTTAGGAAAAGCAGTAGTGAAAACATGCTCAAATAAACCATATGTAAACAGCTTTAAAAGTCTTATATGTAAGGCACGAACCTCTATGCACTTTGCATTTATGAAATAGTATTTTTCCAAAGAAGTTTAGTTCACATAACAGATGTTCCATAATCTTTAAGGAATGCATACCTTCCTATTGCCCCATTAGGTAGATGGGAAGATCAAGGCAGAGAAATCATTTTATTAAAGTCACAATGAGTATTTTGAAGCTGTAACTGAACTTCAGTACATCACCCCGCACTACAGATCCTAAATTAAGCACCACATATTACCACTAGAAAGAATCACACACACACACACACACACACACACACACACACACACACCCCAGGATGTACCTCTGCGGTCATACTACAAACTCTTGACCCATCCATTCTATGGTCCACTGCCATAGAGTAAATACATTAATGAAATAAAACATTTCAGGGCTCTTTGAGTAAATGATGTCATATTAAATCATTAAGATATTCTTGTATAAGAAGTTCTGACTTAAACTACCTCTTAAAACAGAAATATTCTCTAATTTTCCAATATTTCCACTGAATGCAGGAAAACACAGTTTTGTGAGGACCTGGTTGCTTTAACCAATATTCAACTTTGCTAACATTATTAAGCAGGTATTCATGAAACAGAAAGACAGCAAGTGGATTATCAGTATCACCCCGAGCCCCAGACACCTTACACCTTTCACTGAGAACCATGAGCTTACTCTGGAGAATTGGCAGTGGGTCTGGCAGGGCAGGTGCAGAAACACCTGGTAACCTCACCTGACTGACTGGCAAGTGCTCAGCATCCTTCATGCCATGGAGGATACAAGAGAAAACAGGCTTGTGGGGACCTTGGAAAAGTGTAAGCAGGGGTGAACCCTGGAGAGCCTGGTATCCCAGCACTCAACTCACTTCCCTGGGTTGGACTTAGTCTTAGTAAGTGGCTTCATCTAAACAGTACAGTTCTAGAACAACTGGCAGGGGGAGAGGAGAGACACCAGGGCCTAAACATTCTTCATGAGCTGCTGCTGCTCTGCTGTTGGCTTTCCAGGGATGCAGAAGCCCAAGCACCATTCTTGCAGGAAGCTAAAAAATTGCTCTTCTTGATCCTGGTAGGAAAAAAAAAATATGGAAAATAAATGATACCCCAAATACAAAGAATGAATTACAAAGAGATAAATTACTAGCAAAAATAAATACTAGAACTCAAACTGTCAAGGACTCTGGCCCAAGGTATGGCTTGCCACCATGAATGTGCTGTCCTTGCTGTAGACCGGGGGTCTTGTGATCAAGCTGGAATTCCTCCGATGCCCTACTTTGTTTAACTCTGTTGGTTTGGGTGCTCAGAGTTTGATGAATTGCCTAGTGGTACCAGAACTTGGGGGAGGAATAATAAAATATTCATTTGGACCTTATTCAGAAACTTTATTTGTAATTACACGTCTCTCTAAGTGATCTCCCCACCAGCAGATGCCCTTCACTTTTGCAGCTGGAAATGACCACTGGTTCTAGGCAAAGGCCAGGGATGCTACTGAAAAGTCAGGTGATGGAGTGGGTTTGAGTGCTGAGGGGGGGGGGTGTGATTCCATAAGGCTGCCTGCTGCAGGAGCCGTGATTCCACATCAGACGATGCTGGGGTCTCCAGGCTGACTTGTGGTCCCTGTGAGAGTTCTGAATTCATTTTAATGTATTAAGAGAAAGCTCCTAACTTGAGTTTGAGGCTTACAAACTCATCAATTCATTAAGGAAGTGACTGCTCTCAGGACAAGGCTAAAGTGACAAAGTCCAAGTTAATTGAAAGAAGATAATCCAGTAAACAGACCTGGCAAAAGTTGTAAAGAGGACAGGAGAGAACTCCTCCACTGACAGAAGTGGTACCGAATGGCACGTGGCAGTGTAAAAGTGTTGCATTGCACTTAACACAGGCTACAAGTACCTACATTGACACTACATGGCTCTACACAGCATAAGCTAAGACCTGAGGGCCAAAGGCAGCTTACCTATTTTCATAAAGTTTTATTGGAACACTGCCTTTTTAGCAGAATAATGGCCATCTAAATGCATCAGAACTCCCATCTCTAGATGGGTGGTTGTTAGCTTACATGACAAAAGAGACTTTGCAGAGGTGATTAAGGATCCTAAGATGGGGAGACCATCTTGGTTAATAGCTTGTCTGAGAGCTGGGTCATAGGAACATGAGAGGGACTCAGCTGCTGGCTTTGAGATGGCTGGAGGAACACGACCAGGCTCTAAAAGTTGGGCACGGCCTTCAGCCAAAGTAGCAATCAAGTGGGGACCTCAGTCCTGTAGCCATAAGGAACCAAATTCTGCCAATAACCCACGTAAGCAGGGAATGAATTCTCCTCTGGAACTGCCAGAAAGGAATAGGGCCTTGTGGACACTTTGATTTTAGCCTAGTCAGAGCCGCATTGGACTTCTGACCCACAGAACTGTAACATGATAAATTTGTGTTCTTTAACCCACTAAATTTTAGTAATTTGTTAGGGCAGCAATAGGAAGGGAATACAATAGCCATTCATTGTGGTCCTCTGTGGCTGCCTGCATTTTTCAAGACAATCTTAAGTAGATGTGGCAGAGACTCCATAGCCCACAGATCCTAAAATATTTGCCAATTGGCCTTTGTTAGAGAAACAGCTGGTCAACCTCTGCTATTCTTACATAGAAACTGTTAAGAGCAGCTAGCATTCACTGAGCACTTATTTGACATCCAGGTCTGTCTGGGCTAAGATTTTTGTATTCATATCAATTTTCTGCCACAGGTAATATTCTGGTCCCCACTCTCAAATTTAAAAAAAGGGGGGTTGGGTGGGGAAGGAAACAGAGGGAGAGGGCTAGGGCTTAAGTAACTGCTCCAAATTGCCCTGTGAGTCAGTGGTGGGCAGAACTCAAACCCAAGCCAGGCTGACTTCAGGGCTCAGCTTGGTCATTTGCAGCACCTTGCAGAGAGCACGGATGCCCAGATGCTCACCTGAGTTCTTATCGCTGGCAGAATGCAATGGGGAGCTGCCGGCTGGGCACCAGGATACCCAGGTGCAGCATCTCAACAGGCTCCTTGTCTGTGGCCACGATGTCATATTTGCGGACGATCTAGAACACACGTGTACAAAAAAGCAGAATTACCCTTCCTTTCTCCTGCCTGTGGAGTCACATGGCTGCAGAGATCCAGCAAGGAACTTACCCAGCAGACAGCTAAGTGGAGTTGGAGCTCAGCCAAACGGCGGCCAATGCACATCCTTTTCCCAAGGCCAAATGGAAGATGTGCAAAAGGATTAATCTTTTTCTTCTCCTGAAGCCAACGTTCAGGTCTAAACTGACTTGAATCCTCAAAATTGTCTTCATTGGACCCCAGCACCTGGGTATTCAGCATCAGCACTGTCTAAAAACATGGGGGGAGGGACCCAGCATTTTAAATAATCAGAAAAGAATGTTTTAATGGCAAAAATTATAAAAGTGATGATCTTTACACATGCTTAAAAATGTGCCAAGTAATAAATAGGCACAGAAATTCAGTGTTTTTACTTCCTATTCTTGGAACAACCCCATATGGCAGATTCTATTTTCTCCCCATTTTACAGATGAGGAAGTTGAGGGTCACAGATGTTATGTGACTCACTCAAGAACACACAGATAAAAGTGGAATTAGATTCAGGTCTCTATTTCCATAGGCATGCTCCCTAATTCTGTGCTACATAAATGCGAATTATAATGCTTCCAGCTATGGATTTCCCAAACAAATGCTGTCTTGGCAAAAAGTTTCAGAGAGATCTGTTGAATGTTTGGAAAGCATATCTTTCAAAGTTTTGTAAGGTACAGAATACACAAGTTCTACTTACTCCTTTGGGTAAAACATAGTCACCCAGGACTGTTGCCTTGTCAAGAGTCCGAGTTGTAAATGGTACACTTGGGGTAAGCCTGAAAACAGAAAATCAATTGTAAAGGTGGCCACTGACCAAATTCTGTTCAAAATGTCAGTGAGAATGGAGATCAGATTAAGTACATGTTCAAAACTGGGGTAGCCCCTCATAAAGTCCTGTTTTCCCAATATTCATCTCCCTTGTTGCTTTTTCTTGTCATATTGTGTTGGCACAATCCCTAGTGCCAGGCTAACCAGTAACTGCTAACAGTGGTTTTCCTGTCTCATTCCAGACTCCACTGTGTAGGTTTTTTGTGTTTCACCCTGAAGTCTGATGTTTGTTCTATATTTCTCCTATCTACCATTCTTTTCATAATATTTCCTTCTACTTTGAAGATGTTGTGAGTTTTGATTTCCAGAAAGTAGGTAAAAAGAATTTTCAAAGAACATTTTATATGAGGAGCTCAGAAATGAAGGTGACTGTGTCTTGTTAGTAATATCGTGGTCTCTTGCCAAGGAATCGCCTCAGGATCTGCAGTCATGCCCTGGTCTTCTTCAGTGTTCAGAGCATCTATTGATGTGGTCATTCCTTTAAAGGGGAGGACTGACATTCAGATTTTAATGGCATTTGCCCTAATGACTTAGGGAATATGTAACAGAAAAGAAATGTGGTCCAAAGACTCTTCTTCCAAGTTTGAGAAATGTTTATAATCATCAGGGATAGCTATCTATGAGAGGGCTACCTTTGTTAAGTATTTAAGAGAACAGTAGTCCAACATAATTATATTGGCTTATTCATACCTCATAGATTCTTTCAGACAGGCCTTTAAATATGGCATATTCTGCAGATCTCCAGCCCGTGGTGTTTGATTCTCAGGCAACACACTTTGAATTTCCTTAAGAAGTTTTTGTTGCACTTGGGGATTACGGGATAAATTGTAGAGAATCCACATCAAGCTGTTTGCTGTCTGAAACCCAAACAGATACAAACCTGAATTTCTGTAAATAAACTGCCTTAAACTACTACGAGCTAAACAAAGGTGATACCTACTGCCTTGCTTTGCAAATATGTTAGTGATTTTTTTCACATGGTCTTATTTGCTGTGCCCTAAACAAACCCAATATTTGAAAAGTCAGATTTATTTTGTGAAACGTATCAATTCAGGATAGCTTATTTGCTGAGGGAATCAAATAGAATCCTTTAAATAACCAGCTGCATCAGGACATTTAGAATATAGTTGGATCCAATAATTGCTTAAACACAGATAAATGTATATCAAACTGGTGGAATGAGAATAAGTTGGTAGATTATATCAGTGCTGACGTGTAGGTTGTAATGATGTTTTATTGTTAGGCAGGATGTTACCCCTGGGGGACACTGGATGAAGGATACAAGGAATGAATCTCTATTCTTTTTCTTAGAACCAAATGTGAATCTATGATGATCTTAACATAAAAAAGTTTAACTAAAATTGCTTAAGGTAAAAAATAAATTGATGTAAAAATTGAGTAAAGAGAGCAGGTCGGAGATCCTTGAAGTGCTCCTCCTAAGAGGCTTAAATTTCTTTTTTTTTTTTTTTTTTGCAGTGCAAATGCACAAGAAGTGAGTATTTTTGAAACTTTAAAGTTCTTTGGGCCACACCCTGGGAAATTACCATGGAAATGAAAAGGCATTCTCAAAGTTTCAGCCACATGCAAAGAGCCCTCATAGGGGGATGCCAACAGCAAAGAGGAAATGCTAGCGCTGAGCTGAGGGTACAGGAGGACCTGGTCCCCTTGGCCCATTCTAGGACCTCCTTGGGCACATTGGTGCAACCAGCCATTACAGCTTTTAGCTACATAATAGCCACCACCAGTGGGCACACATGTTTGTTTTTTAGGCCTTAGCTAATTTAAGTTAAATAGTCCCCTAAAAATGGTCACAGTGTCCTTCCCTCCGCAGACTCGAAGACGCTGTCGCCAAGTGCCATCTGCCACTCACTTAGATGAGCAAAGTGCAAGGCAACTCAGAGCCCATGGCTATTTATTATTTTTGGAAGAAGATGCCTCCAAAGTAGGCTTCTGCATGTCAAAGGACCGGTGGCCTCAGCTGCAAATAAACCCGTGGTGGCATTATTATAAGAGTCCAATTTACAAAACAGGAAGAGGGTGTAGCCACCAAATTAGAGGCACTCAAAGTTTTCTGATTCTCCAAAAGCGACTTTCAGAACAGCTGAGACTAAAAAAGAAATGGAGATTGTGTATAACCATATCAGTCAGCTCTTCACCACAAGTACCAAATGGAGCTCCCGGAAGAGGTGCCATGTGAGACCAACTGAGCATGTTAAGAAAGACGCAGGGGCCGGTTGGAGGGGAAGTGGTCTGGGAAACCTCAAGGGCACAGGCTATCCCGGCTTGACCTCGGGAGGAGACCCATCTCCTTAACTGGCCTGCTTCTACTCTCCCTGCACTAAGTTCCTTCTCCACCCACCAGCCAGAGTCCGCTTGTCAAAACAGAAATTGGACAGGTGACTGACTCCTTTGCCTAAAATGTTCCAAGAGCTTCTCCTCATGGGCGTAATGAAACACAAAGGCCTTACCAAGGCTCACGAGGCCTTGCAACCTCCAGTTTCAACTCCTATCACATTTGCTCATTCTCTAGCTTCAACCCTCTTTCCTCCACAGGGCCTTTGCGTGTGCTATCCTTCCCTCCCTGAAGTGCTCTTTCACCAGGTTTCCACATAGCTGGATCCTTTCCTTCATTCCAGAATCAACTCTGGTATTATTTCCTCAGAGAGGGACCCCTAGCTCCACTCCCATCTCTCAATATCCTTCTGATGACTTCCTCTGTGGCACATGACACTAATTGAAATGATCGTATCTGTTTGATTGCATGTCTGCTGTCTGTCTTCCCACCAGCATATGTGTTCCCTGAGGCATAGGACTTTGCCTCTGGTTCATGATGGTCTCTCAAGGACCTGCAATGGTCCCTGGCACACAGAAGACACTCTATAAAACCTGGTTTCTTTCATTTATTCCTTAAGCATTTACTGGCCACCTAGCACACGCCAGGCTCTGTTCTGTACAGGAGTGCACTCAGTCATTGCCCTTACAGAGCTTAACAGTTGAAAAAAATAAAAAGAAATGGAAATTTTAGTTCTATCACTCTAAGAAACCTTTTAGGGTTTACGATTCAATAGGAAAATGAGATACAATGAATTTTTGCCTGTATCAGCCACTCGGGCAGAGGAGAAAAGAGGATGTGACCTCTGGATGGAGAAAACCCTCCTCTTTCTGTGCACAAGAAACACTAGGAAAAAAGAAAATGGGAAAATCAGCAAGCTGACTTGCCTTCTGAGACACTTTAAGGTGTGTGCACTGTTGGATTTATGGGGAATATCAATATGCATCACTCTCATGATGGCTCGAATATTGACTCAAAGACAACTAAACACACCTATGTGCATTTGCCAGTATTTGCATTTGGAATTGGACTATATGGAGTATCTACTATGAGTGTAAGCCATCCTGGATTGAAATAAACCTGCTTATTTCAATTAGAATCATACTGTCTCAAACTAACTATGTCCAAACTTCCAAGCAGGAAAAGCATTATTGGCCTAGAGCATGGTATTTCAATATTTTTACAATACATATCACCTGCCACGGGCAAGCACTTTGGAGTAACATATGCAATGACCTAAAATAATCCAACCTTAAAAAACTTTACTGCTTCCAAATCCTTGTAGTAGTTTGCATGTTTGTCATGGCCATGACCAGATCCTATTCTGATTTCTGTCACTGAAGCAATGACGTCTCCGCCATATGCTCGCAGCTATACCTTTCGTCTCCCTGCACCATCAAGTGCAAGACTTTGGAGCTTCGCTAAGCTGATGCTCAGTTAATCTTGGTGGAAGGAGTGAGTTGAAAGACTACCTCAAATTCTTGAGGAAAACACCTGCACAGACTGCATTTGGCAGACTGGCCCCTCCTTACCGTTTCTACAGCAGCCAGCTGGAGCTCTGTGACAGCCGCGTAGAGTTCCTTCCTAGAAAGCTGACTGTGCTGGTAAATATCACAGAGGAAATCAGCACCAGGCTGTTGAGAGTATTTCTCCAGCCGGCTGTTGACACAGGACTTGACTATTAGAGAAGAGAGAGGGAAAAAAAAAAGACAGTTTAATATTAGGATGAGGAAAGAACCCGAGGGAATCTCAGAACAAATCCTTGCAAAATCTGGAAAGTCTTTTCATGCTGGAAATTTGCTAAATAAGCTCGTACTGCCTTCCTGTGAGGCTGGCGAGAATATCTCAATGCCCACATAAGCAAGGTGCCTCAATATGCCTCGGGCACTTTCTTCAAACCCAGACCCAAATCAGGGGTGGGGGCCTGGAAGTCTGCATTTCTCACAGGTGGCCATGATGCAGATGCTGCTGTTCTGTGGCCACATTTTGAACAGCAAGAGCTCAGAACCCAGGAGGGATCAGCAGATGAGGAAGTGGGAGCGGGTTCCTATTCAGAATCAGAATTTGGGACCCAATATTACTAAACACACACACACACACACACACACACACACACACACACGTACCTACAGACCCCATACATGAAAATATAGTGCCTGTGCCTGTTGGTAATAATGGAAAACATAGAATACATCCTAGGTACCGGTCTCCCTCCCTTTGATACAGTGTGCAAGCAGCCCCAGACTAACAGTGACGATGAGCTCAGTGACAGGGGTCACAAATGAGTAGACAGCTTGAGTCCTGAAGCCCTTCTACCCAGCTCCAAACTCTGGTTTTGCCAGAACCTCACATGTAGTCTTGGGAAGTGTCTCAGGCACATCAGTTGGAGCTCATAAAGGACCTACCATGGAGGTTAGTTATAAGGATGAAATATGTGCGTGTGAACCTAGCACCAAATATTCCCTCCATCGTGTAGCAGAAATGGCAAAGCCCTACCCACTGAGGTACTGTGACACGCTAGGTCTTCGTGTCCTCTGTGTCGGGCTCAGAACGGCTCATGCAGGTAGGTTTTACCATTGTTGGCTCATTTAAGAGACCAGGCAACACAGGATGACGCGGAGACAGCACTTTGGCCAAGCTGCCATGCATAGGGAACCCAGGGACCTCTGACTCCAAAGCTCTGCTTTTAGCCACTTTCAGTTCCCGAAGAAGACTGTAGAAAGCCACCTCTTATCTTTCTCTGAGATTCATCTACACTTGTGTATTTGCAAAGCTTAAAGGAATCAGGAGGGGCGACTCCACAGAGAGGTCAAGGTGGCTGACCCAGGAAGGCCATTCCAGCCCTTCCCCAGCTGGGGCTTTGTGGGCCCAAAGTGAAGGGCAGCCCTCGTACCTGATTTGAAGATGGTGTCCCAGGCCAGCGTGTGGGCCTGCCAGACCTTGGTGTTGAGGCTCCTGTGCAGCTCGACTGGCGTGACCATCATCCTCCCAAACGTGCTCATCATCTGTGAGAAACAGGAGCACCTCTTCATTGCAAATTCTCCTCTCCCTGGAGGTTGCTCCAAGCCCCGCACCCTGTGCCTCTCCGAAAGCCAGCATTCAAAGGTGCCCCGCTCTCTCACACCGATCCCAGGCACAATGCCTACGCCCCACCTCCCGTGGAACATCAAAAGCAATCTTGGGGTGACTTTCCACTGTGTGTTTAATAAAAGGTGCTAGGTCCTATGACCCAATTAAAAAAACATATAAAACCATAACTTTCATATTCACTTCAATTTCAAATAATTTCCTAAGCTCGGCCATTCATTCCAAATCAAATTCTACCGCATCCACACATACCTAAACCATTCAAAAATTTAAAATCTGAAAAACTTCAGGCACTTTAAAAATTTTTTTTCCTTAACTGAACATTAATGGGAATACTAAAAATAGGTATAAGGTCAATTTCTATTTTGCTAAAATGACCCTGCGTAAACAAAGCAATAATGGGTTTAACATGCTTCTGAATGACATGGGCACCTATGCACATACTACATTAAAATACATTATCCACATCAAGGTAAATAAGCTAACTTGAAATAAAGCCTTGGCATATGCCACTGTTGGGAGACAGTGCCATGCACATGAACCTTGAGGCCACTCTGTCCTGTGAGCTGTCCTCATGCAAGGGCTGCTTACTGTTTTGATGGCCGCGATGAAGTTCAGAGCATCTTCCCCGGCATTCTTCTGAAGGAGCCCAAATCTCTTCTCATATAACACGAGGCAGATACCTATTATTTAAGATAATTGTGACTGTTACACAAGCTCAGCCACACTGGCGTTTATGATTAGCTGGCTCTTAAAGACCTGATTCTGTGTCTCATAAAATTATGTTTTTGCTAAGGAACATATGACTCAGAAATCCAAGAACATCAAGGGAAAGCAAATGGTCTGAGAGAAAGGGGCGTAAGCACTCTCCTCCCTTTCTAGAAATCGTTTCCAGCACAATGAGCCACCCCCTTAGTGTGGGTCTCGAAGGTCACCTGAAGATGTAAGGCAAAGGTGGTGTCAGGGGCCAGCTCTGCTCTGCCTCCAGCTCAGCTGGGTTGCTGAGCTGTTTATTGGATTCTGCTGCCCCACATGGCCAAGGGGAGGCCATGGACCAGCTGAGCAGCCAGTACCTGCTAGTCCTGAGCCAGTGCTTTGTTGACTTTTCCCCATTTAATTATTTTATTTAGGCACAAACTTTTTAAAAATAAAATTCCCAACTCCATTTCAAAAGTTTTAGATACAGAAAAATTGAAAGATTAGTATAATCGATACCTATGTCCTCTGAGCTCGGAAGTAGTTATTGTTAACATTTTGCTACAGTGACTTTCTCCTAGGGCCAATGTATACATTAAGTCTCTGTGTGTCCCCGTGTGCTGAAAGTGATTTTTGACCTTTTAGATACTTCAAAACTAAATAATTTAGCAGATATCTTCTAAGAATAAATACATTCTCCTATGTAACCACAATGTCACTAATACCCTGAGAACATTACCCATTCCATGATATACCCATGTGCCCATTTAAAAATTTCCCTCATTGTCCCAAATACTGTCTTCTTAACTGTTTTCTTTTATGATCCAGGATCACTGCTGTTGCTGCCTGATTTACAACCTGGGTCAAGAGGGTGAACGACTGGCCTCAAGTCCTCCAGCTGAGAAGCAGGGTCATTGCGAGCCTCGGGTTTCCAACCCCATCTTACTTTCCAAACTCCCCTGGTAGAGGACAGCTATTCATTTTGGAGGAGGAGGAGGTG